CCAAAAAAACAAAGGTAAAATCTGAAAAAGCTAAAATCAAATGAAAATTATACTAAAAAATGGACCAAATTAAAATTAAATGCAAAATTAAGAATAAAAGTGTCACAAAAAAAAAACTAATAGAATATTTATTTTTTAAAAAATATAAAAGTTAAAGATCTAAATTTGTAATCTAATAAATAAAAAATATCACTGAAAATTTTAAAAATATTTTATTTTTTTATCCTTATTTTTATTCAACTAATTTTAAATTTAATTCATCTACATTAAATAAATCTTAAATAATTTATTAAAAAAAATACCATGCAAATATATTTATAAAATTTGTAAAAAGAGGATAGGGACAATTCTTAAAATAAATAAATAAATAAATATTAAACTAAAATATAAATATTTATTAAAAATATTTCGCTAAATTAATTTAACAGTTGAGATTATAGTAACTAAATAAAATAAACTGAAATTATAAATACCCTAAAGGAACGAAAATGAATAGCTGATTTCAACGGTCAACCACTGCCATTCAACTTCTTCAATTGAAAAATAAAAAATAAAAAATCACTATTTACACAAACTGGGAGAAATATTCACATCATAATCAAATAAAAAGACTTCAAGAACCATTTATGAACGATTTTATTGCCAGAAGCCATTCGTGGACCTTCAAACTGAGCATCCCTTCCCTGCATCACAAAGTAAACTCATGATCCATCTACAGATCGTGTATCAGTACAATCTACAGATCGTGTACCAGTACAATCTACAGAACAGATCGTGTTCGAGTACAATCTATAGAACAGATCGTGTTCGTGTACAACTTATAGAACAGATCGTGTTCGTGTACAACCTATAGAACAGATCGTGTTCGTGTACAACCTATAGAACAGATCGTGTTCGTGTACAACCTATAGAACAGATCGTGTTCGTGTACAATCTATAGAACAGATCGTGTTCGTGTACAATCTATAGAACAGATCGTGTTCGTGTACAATCTATAGAACAGATCGTGTTCGAGTACGGTCGCACATCAAGTCGTTCTTACTCTAGTGATATTGTAGATATTGTTGAAGTCAATTGACATGGCCATAATCAATGAAAGGGATATCATAAGCACAAAGCATAGTTTATGGAATAAGAATCAATGGAAGATCTTATAGCATGAACATTCAATAAAGAACGGGATATTTCGAGAAAAACAGTTTCGAGTACAAGCAGCGATACCGAACTTTGAACTAATAACATGTCAGCTTGCAAAAAACCGACAATTGAGAACATAATATCATGCAGAGTACATACTGGAAAACAAAACATTTTCGAGCAAAATAGTTTACAGAGATCGACAAGACCGACGCATTGCAAGGAATAGATGATATCATGGGATAAAACGTATGAATATATGAATTCATTTCATACTCGAATTAAAGAAATCGAAGATAAAATGTGGCTTCTTCTCCTAGTTTGTGCACATGACATTGTGAAGTATGTATATAGCAATACTATAATAGAGTCTTAGAAATAAATGACAGTTTCACCTGTTAAATGATATGTCTATCATTCACAAGCAATCTTGGTGTCAATGCTGCTGAGGCAGATTGCGAAAGCCAGGAAAGCGGAGATCGGGTAACGATAATCCATTGTGAATAAACCCTTCCCCACTTTTCCAAACTGAAGGATGATCGTGTCATGATCGTCTGTAGGTTGTTCGTCTTCCCTAGATGCGACTAGTTGAAAATTTTTCACAGAAGCAATTGTAACTCTTCCATGAAAGTTTAAACACCAGCATTGAAGCCGCTCGTGCCACCGGGGAGTTTTGTTTCTCAGCATCAATATTCCATCTTCCTGACTGTCCAAAGGTTTAGACATCAAGCTATCCGTATCCGAATTCAACCTCCAAAACGGGAATGATGGAATCAATTCGATATTCCTCAAAGAAAGCTCGGCCAGCGTGGGAGCAACTCCTCCAGGTTCAACCGCAGAAGCGGGAATGGCGTCCATGACACACTGCATTCTCCTCGGACCCCTGCGTGTTAATCACATGAACTGTTGAGCATTTGCTAGACATCTAAAGAACAAATGCAGTCATCCAAACAAAGAATAACCATAAATCATAAGCCAATTATCCGATCGCCTTGGAATTACCTTGATCCCAACACATTTAGTTCATATGAAATGTGAGCAACAGGGTAGTTTCCTGAAGGGACATTGGGTGAAACTTCATTCAGATGCACTGGCCTTGAGGAGAGACCTTGCGTGCTTTTCGTGCTTTTCGTACTTTTCGTGATCTTGGCTTCGGAATGTGGCGGTTGCTTATCGAAGATTGTGAACTTGGTTCCTAGGAAATTAGATCTTTTCCCAGACAAGGTAAAAAGAAAAAACTCTCAGAAATCTAAAACAAAGATCTAATAATGGCATCAGAAGCCTTCAAGAACAAGCATACCTCAATTTCCCAACAATGGTGGTGTCGCTCCCCTTCGACGAATCCTCAGCACACAACGAGATATCGTAATCCGTGTAGGTCGGGCGCTTCCATTTATGAGCAGCAAGTAGAAATTTACCATCCTCAGTTAGTGCTGTGATTAAGAAATGAACCATTCAGACATTTTAAAGCTGTTGAGGATCATTGGGAGTGAGTCCCACGTTGGTTAATTTAGTGGAAGATCATGGATTTATAAGTGAGGAATACAATCTCTCCGTTGGAATGAGACCTTTTGGGGAAGCCCAAAGCAAAGCCACGAGAGCTTATGCTCAAAGTAGACAATATCATACCACTGTGGAGAGTCGCAATTCCTAACCAAAGCTAGGAAACCTCAATTTAGCATATAAATCACTAACCATTTGTCAAATTGAGGAAGAGATGATAGGTCTGGTTGGAGCTGTTTCTCTTTATGAAACACCGTACAATATGATCCCTTGGACCAGGCTGCAAAAGTACCTCCAGACGTAAAAAGTAAAATCTAGGAGTATGGACCAGGCTGAAAATGCATTGATCGCAGGATCAATTTTTGCGTACACAAAAACAACATTCAAAACATCTGAATTCAACATCATTCTCGATCAAAAGAAACCGTAAACTTAATGAACAAAAATGGAAGAATCGAAAGCTATAGAGCAAAGAAACTTAGGGCAATCCAGCGTACTCTTAAGAGTAAAACACATCATTATAGCAACAACATTCAAATTTCCAATCAGTTCAAAACCATACCAAATATACCTAAAATCCGCCAAATTAACAACAAGCGCGAAATACTCACTCACCTGCTTGAGAGAGATTGGGAATGTCAACCTGCCGGAAACCTCCAGCGTTAGGACGATCTCCTTAGAAATCATTCGCCAGCTCCGACAAACTCCGGCGCAAGCGACGACACTTCTCCTCAGCGGCCATGAGGCCTCCGACTCCTCGATTCTCATAAAAATATCCCTGAGAAGCTCCGAAGGCATATTGGCCCAACCGCTGTGTTCCATGTCGTCCCTCGGCTCCGGAGCGGAGCTGTCCTGCACCACAGGGCGGGAGCGGGAACTCATATCTAGAAAGAACCTCTTGAGAGACATGGATTGGCCGGATTTCTGTTGGAGAAGACGATGAAGATGGTATTAATCATCAAACATGTGCGAGAGACGCCATTGAAGGTGTGTGGATTTAGCTTCGGATCATTGCGGAATGGAAGAGAGTGATATAAATGAATCTGAGTCGGGAAAGGATACAGCTATGGTGATTCAACAGAACTGGTCACAATTGTTATTGCTTCGAGTTAAAGACGAAAATGAATATTCAAATAACAATAAATAAATAAATAAATAAAATATCAATTTATTTATCCGTTAAATTACGACTTTGCCCTTTCAACTTTTTATTTTTTTAAATATAAATTAATAAAAATATTTCTAAACTCTCAAATTTTTAATTATATTCTTATAAATTTTAAAGAGTATATATACATTTTATATGAAATTAAAAAATACCTTTATTTTTTTTAAATTAAAAACTCATAAATTTGTAAATTTGGCATTAATATAAAAAATTTAAGATTTTATTATACACAAAATAAAATTAATAAATACAATAAAAAAAATAAAATTGTAGATACAATTTGTATGAAAATTTGTTAAGATATATGAAAAAAAAAATTAAATAACCATGTTTGTTTAACATTATTTTTATATAAAAAAAATTAATGAACAAATTTATATAAAATAAAATTTAATAATTTATTTTTATTACAAAATGAAAATAAAGAAGATTGATGAATGGAAGTAACTGGTGAAAAGGTTGAGAGCTCTTGTTGCTGTTTTTGAATCATCCTTCCTTTCCTTTCCTTTACCTTCACTCGGGTAGGTGAGATCCAATGAGATCAAATCTCTCCTACATAGTGGAGTGGTAGTTAGAGAAGACAGTTGACGGGGGACTTCTATAAATTACACTCCTTATATAAGGTCGGGAAAAACATAAGTGCTAGACTCGAGCCTAGAGCTTAAATTGATATCAGCAAAACTAAAGTTTAAGGTTTAAGTAAATGTCCGTTTAATTCGTGAGTCAGGATCGGGAGGATTTACCTTAATGGGGCGGAGAATGGAAAAGGGGTCGGGAGGGAGTGCTTTCTTGTCTTTAGCTAAATTGGTCAAGGGTCAGGATTTTTTTGTCCCGTGCAAACACCGACTCACTATATATTTCTTGACATATTCAATAAATAAATATTTTTTTTGGTAGAAGACTATGTGTTGTAAATTTTTTTTAATAAATATATTTAATTTATTAATATATTTTACATTTTTTATAATAAAAATTATATGAGATGAGATTTAAGGTATAAATTTTTTATTTTTTATTTTTTTTCTTTCAAAAACAAAATTGGATAGTGCACATGTTACCAAACATGCGTTTCCCCAATTCTTTACGACGTTACACTATACGTGTAACCAAACAAGGAGAAAAAAGCGGTAGCGTGGAATGGAGTAACAAATCAGCGTGTCCAAACACGATTCGATATAAATTAAGTCCAAACTACGCTACCAAACAAACATCTATAAAAGCGTTTTCTTTGCAGATACTGCTCTCTTAGATTCCATCTCTCTCTTTCCCTTTCATAGCATTTTCTTTCAAATCTCAGATCTCTGTAAACTTCCTCCGTAACGAAAATGTTCTCCATCGCTGGATCTTCGGTTTACATGCCGTCTATCTCCGCTTCTTTCAAGCACAGCCAGGTAAATCGTTTTTCCTCCGCTTTTTAGTTCGCTTTTAGGACTTTTAGTTGTAAATTCAAGTTACTTTTGCTCGGAACTTTGTTAATTTGGTTCCATGAATCTATTGATTGCGTGCTTTACTTCTGCTGAGTGTTTCCAGGATCTGATTTGTTTTCTTGAAATGTATGTCTTTGTTCCATGCGATTAAAGTTACAGATTACTGTTTTGGCTACTGAGATTTCTTGTTGAGATTGCACGAGAATTTTATTCTTGAAGATTTGACTAGATTACATTCGGTGCAACGATGATAGATCTGATTAAGTTATTTCGCGTCCTTGAGTTTTGGCGTCGGATTTGATTGTAGAATCTTTCTTTTAAGATCGAGAAGTTTTAACTAACTTTCATATTTAGTGTGTTATCTAATGTTTAATGCTTCTGCTGGATTTTTCGAGCAGGTGTCTAACGGCAGGATCTCAGGTTTGAAATTAGTTTCGGCGCCTTTAGGCAAGGCCATTTTTCCCTTGCGAAGGAACTTCAGGCAGGGAAGCCTTCAGGTTTGCTGTGCGGTAAGTGCTCTTCTGATGTATTTATTTAATCGTCAGCGTCGTTATCCTTTTAAGTTCTTTCTGTATATGGTACATACTGTTTCAAAACTATTCTTGTTTGCTCATATTATTCTCTCTGAAATTGTTGCAACAAATAGGCTAGTAATAACTGAACTCAATTCAACAGCAGGTCATATACTAGATCCCAGTCCTCTTTTATGATATGACATGTGGCTGTTTATTATATGTGATTCTCTCCTTTTCTTTTTGTAGTTCTCTGTCTCTGCAGATTATGATTGTGTGAGACTAGCGGATAAGACTTCCATACACATCAAAAAGTTAGAGATAGATAGATGAAAACTGCTAGAACAAATCTGCTTAGATAGCTGCTGTTGTCTGTTTTAGAATTTCATCATCACATTTTCGTTGACTCTGATAATCTTTCACAATTGTGAAAGAGCTACTGTATTCTCATTGATCAGAAACATTACAACTCAGTCTATTTTTAAGACTTTAGACTACTCAATACATCTTGACAAACTAACAGAATAACAAAACGAACACTCAACTATTAACGTAAATTGTATTCCTAAATGTTATAGAGCTCTTTTTTTCTTGCATCCATACGATAATGTTACAGAACTATTGAAACTCTTGGACAGGCTAAACCAGAGACCATGGACAAGGTGGTTAAAATCGTGAAGAAACAGCTTGCTCTAGATGAGGATTCTGTGGTCAATGGAGAATCAAAATTTTCTGAGCTCGGAGCTGATTCTCTCGATACGGTAACAAATGTTCTTCAACGTATTATACTTGTGCAATATATTGTAAAATGGTATCTCATTTTCACTGCAGAAGCATCTACCTCCTCTGATGATCATTTATTTTTATTTTTTTGTTTTTGAGAATTAAGAATATAAACAATGCTTTCACCCCTGAATTTCTTTGTTTTTTTTATCTTTGGAAGCATCGCCAAGTTTTAAAAATTAAAAACAAGTAAAATGTTTCTGTTTTTAGAATTTGACTAAAAATTTAAATCTTACTTTACAAGGGGTGATTGTTGTTTAGAAAACGAACCTTTTTTTTTCAAAATAAATAACTAAATAGTTATCAAATAGGTTGGTCTTAGTTATTTTCTATTTTCTTTGTTTGGATGCCATTTGATTCCATTTGGTGTTTATCATTTGTCAAAAATAGGATCGATTGAACTTTCACTTCTGAGTTTCTTTGTTTGCAAAACATTATCATAGTTTTGAAAATTTTGAAAATAAATTGCAAAAATATGTTTCATTTGTCAAAAATAGGATCGATTGAACTTTCACCCATGAGTTTCTTTGTTTGCAAAACATTTTCAAAATTTTGAAAATTTTAAAAATAAATTGCAAAAATATGTTTTTGTTTCTAGAATTTGGTTAACATCCTTTTATTACTATTATGAGAAAACTAGGTCATTTTTTTTGGTCTTAGTTATTTTCTATTTTCTTCGGTTGTGTCGTCTCATTTGATTTCGATTCATGTTTATCGTTTTTCAAAAATAAAAATAGGATCGATTGAATTCATTCCATTTTCTAAAAAAGAAAAAAAAAGCAATGGAAAATAGATTTTAAAACCGGAAAACAAGTTTTTAAGAATAAATTTCTTTAATTTTTCCAAAATTTTACTTTCAGTCAGACACCCAATCTTTCCCTCCTTAGCATATATTCCCTCAAACATGTGTCTCCCCAATTTACTTATTCTCTCTGTACACTTTTTTTTTTCTCTCTCTAATCATATCTATTGTCAAACATGGTTCGCTTTTCCATTTCTTATGTAGCTATCAACCATTTTTGGTTTTTAATAAACATGAAATAGTAACAAACAAATATAAATAAAAAAGGGTTAGTTTCTGTCGCCTTGTTTCAATGGGGCCGGTTGTAGAAGACGTTTAGGAAAGAAAATTTGTTTGGGCATGATAACCATTCTAAAAGGTTTTCAATTTTATTTTAACTTTTTATATTTAGTATAAAAGGTTAAAATAAAATGTTCTAGAAAATTGGTCATTTATCCATTGAGTTAAGCACAAATTGGCATGCTTTATTCTTTGATAGTATTAGATAAACATGAGCTTTCGTGATAATTAGAAAAGTTAATTCATTTAGTCTATTTTTTCCGGCATTTTTCACCCAGTCTCTCCCTTTGGATTCGTCGGGTCGGATCTTATTTTTATTTATTTATTTTGTGCTTGATGAAGTGTTATTTATTATTTTTTATTTTTTTTTTAAAAAAAGTAAAGGGGAGTGAAAATTAATTTAACGAAGTTATTGAATGGATGTGTAGGTTGAGATCGTGATGGGACTGGAAGAGGCATTTAAGATCAACGTGGAAGAAGAGAGCGCCCAAACCATCACCACCGTCCAAGAGGCCGCCGATATGATCGAGACTATTATTTCAAAGGACGGACCGAAGCCCGCAGCCTAAATCTAATTTCGTAGTTCCGCCCGTATTTTAGATCTCTCTCTGGATTTTGGTAGCTTCTCTTTCTTTCTTTCTATCCACGTTCTTTTCCTTTTCAAACTTCTTAGAAACGTTTTCTGCGTGGCCTCACTTCCACTTCGTCCTTATTTATATTTTCCTTGATTATTGAGTTTCTGGGAAACCTCCATTTATTTCTTACTGCTACCATTGCGTCTCTAATTGTTTTTTATGTCCCATTGGATCAAGATCTACAAGGCTTGATAATTTTTTAGACAAAATTCTTGATCAAACTTAAATAAATATTTAACACAATAATGGTAAATCTAAAAAATCCATATCTTGAGGAGTAGGTTGAGAGTCTTTCTTACATACAAAAATATCTAAAATATGAGTCATAATATGTAGTTAATTTTAAAATGAAACTTTTTGTAATACAGTTTAATATAAACAATTACATTGCGAGAAAAACTTTTCACTTTGGAATAATTTGCCTTTTGAAATTCATTCGATAATGTTCGGTTTAAAATTCTGCAAATTTCTAAAAGAATATAACCCCTACAGACCGAAAAAAATAAAATAAAAGCTGAGCCTGAACAAATCAAACTGAAAAATGGAAGGGAATAAAAAAATAAGCCACAAATTGGTTTACTTAAAAGTCCTATTTAATAGAATTTCAACTCTTTAATTTTGTATTTAATAGATTATTGATATTATTTTTTTAAAAATAATATCAAGTCCATAAATGATTAGACACTCAAACCAATTGATAGACCATAAACATATTCAAATTTTTTAACCAATTAGACACCAAAAAGAAAAAAAAATGAAAGTATACTAATTTAGAAGAAATGTTAATAAACAAAAATAGTTTAGGAACTAAATTAGTTGTAAGCTTTAAAGTTTTGAACAGAAAATGAGTGCCAAATTTTATTTAATTCAAATTAACCATCAATAACCACTTCATTCACAATTTACTGCCACCTAATACCTGAAGCCCAACAGCTAAATGCCTTCTTGCAAGTTGCCATAAACAAAACTATATATATATACACACACATACATTTAATAGAAAATATTAAAATATAATGAATAGCTAGATGCAAAAATGACAAGGGGCATTTTAAATACTCAGTGTTGTTTTCTTATAATTTTTTTTTAGGATTATGATAATATGAAGAAAAAAAAATCATTGTTTACCATAAAACGAATATTTAAAAACTATATGAACCCCATAAAATAAAATAATATATTATAGTACCGTGTCAAATAATAACGAGAGCTATTATCTTATAATTAGAAATTTTCACATTTTTACTCACCTAACCTGAAGCCCAACAGCTAAATGTCTTCTTGCAAGTTGTCATAAATAAAACATATATATATATATATATATATATATATATATATATATATATATATGAAGGGACGTTTCAAATACTCAGTGTTGTTTTTCACCCACCTAACCTAAACTCAACCCTAATGGCTAAATGCTTTCTTGCTAGTTGTCACAAACAAATATATATATATATATATATAAAGGATTATATAAAAATGAAACGAATAAATAGGGAAGAAAAGAAGACATGATAATGACAAGGGAAAGGAGACAAGGAAGGCTTACCTAAACAGCACCATTGAGAAAACATACTGATTGGTATAACGTGCGACTCCAAATTTCAACCAACACACCTAATTCACAGTCAGTGTGCATCACATGCACAAGGAATCAGATTTCATGTTTGCCCATTCTGATTCAAACCCCCCCATGTGCCACCAAAATTACTCTCTTCACTCACTAACAAAAATCTTAGGGCTCAATAAAAGGACTACCAAGAGAAAAAAATGACTCCATAGTTTGTCAATTATAATGAAAATTTCTAACTCTATCAAACCTTGCAAACCTTGCAAACCTGGCTTCTAATGCAGGCTTAAATCACACAAAAGGGTTCGGTATCTAAAACTATAGCATTTATTCCCAAATTTCAACAGATGACAGTGTGAAAGTTCTTTATTTATAATTAAATAAATTACAAAGAGGTAGAAAGAGTAATAAATGAATATAAGATATATGTCTATAATAAAAGGGCAAGTTTGATATCTATGATAAGCTATAATGAAAAACAAATATCTAGATGCCTATAATAAAAGATCAAATGTGATATATATAGTAAACTATAATTTATTACTAAATATTAACCAGAAATCCAGTCAAATATATATATATATATATATATAAAAATACAAATGATCTGAATTTCACCAGCGATGGTTCAACGGAAAGAAGATCAACTAAAAGTACTATTTTCCATGTACTCAGAAAAATGAAATTAACAAAAAGAAACAAAAAGGAAACTTCCGGGATGTAATGAATCAAGTACAAGTAGAAGTGGAACTTTTGCAGTTTCGGAGTCAATGTAAGTGCAGATAGAAGGCATGAAGAGATAGGGCAGTGAGAAGAAGAAGGGAATTTGAATAGGGAGGCAGGGGTTTAGGGGCTGCGAAGGAACCTGGTAGCCCAAGTGGGGAAAGGGCAGAGGAATCAGGACCAGGAGCCTCGAACTCGTCTGGATTTGGAGGGCTGGGGTTGGAAGGAATGGTGGGAATCGAACCAGATGCAGAAGGAATGCTACCGCCTGAAGAAGGCAATAATGGAGCAATATCAGGGGAGAGTTCTTGAAAAGAGGAGCTGAGTTTTGGATTGGGTAGAGATGGTAAAGCAAGCAAAGGTGAGGCCATGAGTGCCATAATGACTGCTGCACAATACCAAAAGGAGGCCATTCTAATGATGATGAAATCACTCAACTCGCTCTCTCTCTCTCACTGGAGGGTGTGTAGTCTAATATATTTGTGAACATCGAAGGGAGGTATTATTATTTTATTGTGTTATTTACAATAAATAAGTAAATAACCCTTGCCTTTACCAAGCTGCCGGGGATTATGGTTTTAGGGACTTTGTTTTAAATGATGACGTGGGACCTTTGAAATGGGAGAATGGAGAAGCCAGGTAGGACAAATTCCACGTGGATGATGGCAAGTGGATGTTGTGGAGGGTAACAGGTTGTAATGTTTGGGGATGGGACAAAAGATTGGACTTTTTTGCTGCGGCTTGTTTGGTAGCTGACGATTCCTCTTTAACCCGTGACATTGGTTCTCCTTAATTTACGATAATTGAGATCCTAAAAGTCCAGTCCAATTGATCATAACTTTACCAAACTATGAATTTCACTAGTCACTCTAACTACTACGCCCTCTTGATTCTAATCACTCGAATTTCAATGATTAATCCCACTTCTCAAACTTGTTGTGCAGAATCAGCAGACAGTGAGGAAGAAAACAATTAAACCAATTTTATTTGAAAGATCAAGCAGAGATGCACAAAAGCTTTGCCAAATTGGAACTGACAAAATGTTAGGGGATGTGATGATACATTTGAAATGCCAAAAAGAAATTGGCTTGCATTTGTATTTCAGAGAGCACCGAGCAAAATCTCCAACATAGGGATGGGATGTTCAAGGTTTTAATTTTTTCGAACTCAATCAGACTAACTTAGGAATGGGATCTAGTGGCAAGTGTTTTGTGTGGATGGAACGCTTTGTCTTTCCTCGTGGACTAAATTGACTCTTTCAACAAGTTAGAGCTCAGATTTTGTTAATGGATCTAATCTGTCCCATTAATATGTTTGTGTTCTTGTTTCTTAAGAGCAACACCAAGGGAATGTGAACTTATCTCTTAACGGTAGTGATTCCATGACCTTTTCTGTAAAATCTTAACACATGTAGGAACAGTCATTTCAAGGCTCTATTAAGGGGCAGAAAAGAGAGTGACCAACATGTACTCATTGTGGTTTTCCATTCCGTAAGTACAAGGTTATCTTCCTAGTTGTAAGCAGCGAAAAAGTCTGCACATAATCAAACATGGAAGAACGCCACGCCTGTTAATCAAGCTATAGACGGTGGTTCAATGGCTTAATGAATAAGACAACCTCTACTAACAAAATAAACTCCTTTTCATCTACTTTATGGCCCATAAGTAGATTATAGATCTCCTTTCCTTTCAACTAGTGAGAAAAAAAATTATACTTCTCCCAAGGTTTTTGGTTGCTCAATTTTTCCTACCTTCTCACCGAACTAAGTTTCGACCAAGTTAAGCATTCTGTTGGTTGCAGTCAGATGCATTTATAAGATCGAATACAAATAAGATGGAAATATGGGGAAAATATAGTAACGCTCGTTAAAATATACTCAACAAGAAGGTTAGGGTTTCTTTAGGACTTCTCTCCCGCGGCAGAGCTTGCCATTGTAAAAATTCTTTGTGATCGCATCTATTTATAATTGGCCTTTCAAAAAACTTGAAGCAAATAATGTCTTCCTCACTATTGATCGGTTGAGGAGATTATGTGGATCTAGCCTTAGATTTTCCTATATAGAGTCATGAGGGGCATCCCTTGGTTTCTAACGTTCACAAATCCATCTGTGATTTAAAAGAAAACTGGCTATTGGTTCTCAAAATTTCCTTTTTCTTTTGTGCTGTTTCTGTTCCTGGTTTTAAACAATTTATAAGCGCAACATTCCTTCGTCACTAAGTGTTGATCCTTTTCTAAAAACTTTTTGTCAGTAAATGCCATTGATATTTCAATTAATGGATCTGATGAGAGTGGCCCAAAACATTGGAAGTTTCAAATGGGCAGCTCAAGCTTAAGGATCTTGGTAGTTTGAAACTTTACTGGGATTTGATCTCATGGAGGTATGTATCTTTCAAAACGTTATTAGACACTTCACCTATTTGATTCTGATTTATGATATTTTTGGGCGGTAAGCCCCCTCGTGGGATCCTAAAATAAAGCTCTTTAGAAAGTGTTGTTCTTAGTGATGCTTCTTCATGTAGAATTTAATTGGAAGACTTCTCTCTATTTGACAGTATCATGACCAGAGGGAGTCGAGATTAAACCTACTGTATGTTGCCTCTTGATTGGACTCTAGCAAAACCACCCAATGGGAATTGTGCATACACGTTTTAGTTTCACTTTAAACATTCCATCTGTTATTTCGCTTATGTCAAATATTGTTTATACATTTTAAGGCCGTTGGACTTTAATGTATGGATTCAAAGGATGAGATTCATTAAAAGATCTAGATTGTTCCATGGAAGTCATATAGAATTATCTGGTGTGTTTGAAGCAAATGTATGGAGAAGAAAAGACGAAACAAATTCAATTGCATTGAAAACTCTTTAGAAAAGTGTGAACCTAAGTTTGTAGTTTTCTAAAGAGTTTTCAATATAATTGAAATTGTTTCTTCTCAAATTAAGTTTTGTTTGATTATTTTATTATGAATATCCATCGCATACTTCTAACAGATTGATAGTTGAATCGAGCAGATAATTCGGTAGCACATTTTTCTTCTTAACAGAAATATCAAATGATTTTTGTTGGGAAACGGAGAAGAATTGTAAGAGTACCTGACATCGCATGCTCGATTTCTATAGCTCATAAGGTCCCCTCCATTAAAGTACTCCAGCAGGACCAAACCTGATCATATTTGACGAGAACTTTCCTCTCCGGTTGAGCAGGGGAATATTAGCGGAAAGCAAAACTCGGAGTTATTGAACAAAACCTGGTGAGGATTAGGAAGCCAGAGTTGAAGAAAATGAATAATTGCAAGCTGTTTCAATCGAGCATGAGCTTTTAGATGACAGCGCAACATAAAATGCAAAACTGAGAACATTAGAAACATACAAAAATTTAGCTCAATCTGGTTATATAAGGGATCAATAACCTGACCTGCGATCAGTGGAGGATCAGACGCCAGTTCATGAAGCGCAACTGTTCCCGCAGAAACCTCAAACATTCAAATTCCAGCTTGTATACAATGCAAAATCAAAAGTTCAACAAGTCAGAGATGAAACAAATTCAGCAGTCTCTAATGGTGATTACTTTTCCGAGATTTGAAGTACAAACTCCTCGGAGCAAAAAACAGCTGAGAATTCACTCTTCGTACAATAAGTGAGACCTATTAATTTGCTTCGTGCAGAATTTTGTTCATCTGCTAAACATCAACGCACTTAATCCCTAATTATTCGATCGTCTGATCCTTCCATTATATATAGTCTACAAAAGCACAGTTTAGTATATTAAAACTATTGCCGCCATTGACTGCACAATTAGCAGAGTACAGCAAAGAAATTCGCGGATTGGCTTAAAATAAAGCTCGAAAAACGTTACCAAAATTGTCCGCCACCAATGGAATTGACGAAGATAAGATACTCGCTCAACATTGCCTCCGTTCTCTTTGCCAAGGTTCAAAATGCAGAGGACCACTATTTGAACAGATAAACCAAAGCGAATGAAGAAAATGAATGAAAAGCTTCACAAAACTTGATTCAGAGAAACAGAAACGATACAATAGGAAGAATAAAAATCTTCACAAATCGTGATTCGAATTTGGCCATGGATCGGAGAAGGAAGAAGTGAAGAACGATAGAGTAGGCGGGAACAATAAGGCGAAAATTGAAATTACGAAGTCGATGGCGGTTTCGTAAGAATTTTGCCATACATGCTCCTCCTTAGAAACAAAATAATGGTAAATTTTGTTTTTTCTGATATTTATACTCTTCAAATTTTAGTTTATTTTTCATTTTAGTCCTTAAATTTTTAGATATTTCATTTTGTCTCTAAATTTTCATATATTACACTTTTTTCCGAATTTTTTTTGTTGATGCTCACCTGACATTAAATTATAGTTAACATTAATGAGTTGAATAATGACGAAAAAATTAGTGAAGAATAATTAATTATAAATCTTTTAAATGGATTATACAAGCTCTCGTAGTTTTGATTTGCACTCTTCAAGAGGCCTTACTTCAATTGAGAGAGTATTCTTTTATTATAAATACATGATCATTCCCTAAATTATCCAATGTGGGACTTTCATCATCCAACGATACTATTGTGGAGATCCGTGATTCCTTATCGCATTCACGCAGCTAATAGTACAATATCGTGAAACAACAGATACTTAAGAAAATAACGTTGAGCTAAATTCGTCAGTTCTTGAGACGTAAGTCATGTAATCTTAGATTATCGACTATCGGGTGAAAATAATTATAGAAATGATGAAACTACGACCTAAATTTTCAACGTGTCACTTTTTTGCGTGTATTAAAACTCAACCATATAAAGTTATAAACTAAGAATGTTCACGAGATGAGGCTGGGGCATTTGAATCCTCATCCCGAGAAATCCCTGGTTTAGTTCTCCCATAATTGAGGAAGATTTTTATTATTTTATTTACCGATTATTATTTATTGTATGAACAAACTGAAGTTATTAGTGCAATTTAAATAATATATGATTGACATGCACGCAGACTGTGTTCAAACATTAATCTAAATGATCTATAGTATATGGATAAAGTTGATTTGTTTTATCTTGATTATATTATTTATACAACATATTACGTAATTATTATAAATAATTTAATTAAAATCGTTCATGAAGAGACATGTAAACGAAGGTATCCTATATAATGTTGGACTATAAAATATTTAATATTTATCTATAATTCTATTAATTGATACAATTGGTATTTCACACGATAGACTATATATAATTTGGTCTTAATCGTTACCGAGTTACAAACTCGTGCTCATGGGAGCTTGTACTTTGATTTGCATGAGCGATAATGACTGTTGTAGCCGGGTCAACATGCTTACGATGTTTTTTATTCGACCAAATAGGGAGGTGAGATTGCAATCTCGTGATCATAAATTCATTATTTTTTTTTATAAAATATAGGTAGACGAGTAGTTCCTTGAAGTAACTAATTCAATACTCAAATGACGAGACTCCACCCTCTTACCGACTCGAAAGAAATTTGATTTCTGGTTAAATTGTAAACAAATTGTTTATTGGACAATCGGTAGTACTCAAAGTGAAAGATGTAATTACAAAAGCATTTTTATAAAACTGGACGAAAACTAGGGGTGGATCTTGTAATTTACATGTATTTTAAAAAAAAAAAAAAAAAATTTTGAAAATTTCAAAGAATGTATTAATAGAAGATAAATTGAAGGGTTATTTTTTTAATTTTGTTGAAAATTTGAGGTACTTTTCAGATATTGTTAAGAAGTACAGGGGTGTAATTGAAAATTTTGAAAGTTTTAAGGGTGTTATTGAAGTATTTTCTACCATTATAGGCAAATAGGTAATTTAGCATACTTATGAGGGACTTTTTAGTAATTTCACCTTGAAAAACAATCATTTATTTTCATTTAATCAGCGAGCGTAGAAGGAGAAGAATCGCGAATGAAAGCAATCGATACCGTAGAAATTGCATCGAATCTCTCAGGCGAAGAGCCCTCACTGTAAACGTTATAACATTGAGCACTTCCAAAAATCACCAGAGAAATTCATTCATTCACTGCAAAATCCCTTTGTTCATCTTCCGATGCCCAAACTCCGCGTTGCGCTCAAAGTTTTCTGCTCCTTCAGCTCTGTGTTTTTGTTGCTATTCAACTGACAAAAAAGCACCAGTAAGCACCTATTTTGTTTCATTTCGTTTTTCTTCTTCCTCGAAATTTCTATTTATGAACATGTTTGGGAGGTTTTGTTTGAATCGCTTCATCTAATCGTCTTCTCTAAATTTCTGCTGATTTTGAGGTTATGTTCTGTTTGGAATTTTACCTTTGACTGACATGGATTCAATGGCGTTTTTGAAGTTCATTTGTTTCTTAAATGTGAGTTTTGCTTAATTTAAGCTGAGTTAGGGTTTTACTACGTTGATTTTGCTGAGAGTTTCGTCAGCTCTCTACTAATTTTCCTTGTGAACTCGTGAAATGTGAGAATCGTAGCCGTCTGGAGTTTGGACCTGTTGACGGGTTTTGCGATGAATGCGTAAAATTGTTTATTGCATTTCACCATATCAAGGCCATATCAAGGCGTAGAGATGTGAGGTGGTTCCATGCATTCCCTTTGAACTCTAATGGAGTGATGGTTGGATTTTGTAGGACGGATTGTGGAAGTGAATGTGTATATTTACCCAGCAATCTGCATTTATTATTTTTCATTTATTTATAAATATGCATTTTATTTTTCAAATCGCTCGATGGCTATCAAACTAGCATATTTAAATTTAGCTGTTTTTGTGTGCGTATCTCAGCTAATTTTATGAGATAGTTGCCTAACAACACTAGAGTGCCTGCCCTTTCTTTCACGCTGGCCAGGACGAGAAAGGATATAACGGTGCATTGAAAAATCCAACAGTCAAAAGGGAAACCGAAGGGGAGTTCTAAAAAGCAAGAATCGGCTCCCCTTATGAGAATATAACCGGTCCCATCTCTCTCCAAACCTAACGTGGTAGTTCCCCATCATAGGGCTTTCTATCTATAGATTGAGGCATTACAACTAACCACTCGCTTAAGTGTCAAATGGTTTTTTGAGTGCATTTAATCAATCGATCGCTATTCACTGACTCCCACTAGGTGTAAAGTGACTGGGTTCCAAACCTCACCCTTGAGAAAAAGATATTGAACTTCATTTCTTTCTGTCTTTCTGTTAGTACGAGGATCCCCGCTAAGCATCCATGGCTGAATGGTTAAAGCGCCCGGGTGCCACGGAATGGGTGAAGATCACCAGAGAGCAAGGCCAGATCTTCTGCATTTGTTAATCAGGAAACTCTTAGGATTTTAATTTTCTAAGAGTTGGGCATATGATATTTGGTAATTTGGTTAGGATGGGATAAAGGGAGAGTGCAAGGAGCGAGACAATAAATAGTTGGGTAGCTTGGGAGAGGATCAGAACTCTTGAAGTTTGAAAGACTTGTATCCATCCTTGCACAGCTCTAGTGAGTAGTATTCATCTCTTCTCATCACCAATCGAGCACAACTTAAAAGGTCTAAAGTTTAAATCCTCCTTTTCTTTTTCGACCGCAGTTTCTCTTTTCTTTTATCCAAATGGATAGTCCTTTTGTGTTTCCTTTGGAATGGAGTGGTGAGGGTTTTCCTATTTCTTTTGTAATTTCATACCAACAATGAAAGAAACAATTTTAGCTAAGTTTTGAAGAAAAAAAAGTTCCCAATCGAACTCAATTGGCATCAAACTACCTCCCTAGGCACGCCAATGGGATAGAAAGTTTAGTATATTCCTGTTTCAGGTTGTTCAATTCTAACACCCAACCCAACCCAACACTTATATGTTTGGGTAGGGTTGGATTGGGTTGCCCACTTGCTACAAATATGGAAAACCAGACACGAAACAAAGACACTAAATGAATTAGGATGGGGTATCAAAAGGACATTGAAGATACGACAAAGAGAGGCAGGCAGCAATGAGGAGATAACGAAGATATCGAATGCGAACGTCGGAGAGTCACAATGAAGAGAGAGATTTGGAGAGCTAAGTCGAGACACCCATATCACCCATATCAACCTTAGATTGCATGTATATGCACTTTTCCTTCTCTTTAGGGTTGTAGGGGTGCATCATTTGTGGAGGAATATCAGAAGATCTTGACCATATTATTTGGAGTTGTTAGTTTGCTCAATCTATTTAGTCTCATTTTGAAGTCTTTTAGAGTTTCGATGGCTTCAACAAAATGGTAGGGCTATGTCGAGGAGGCTCTGCCACATCCACCCTCTAGGATAAGGGAAAAATTCTTTGGCAATTTTGTTTTCTTATTTTCCGTTTTACGGGACATTTGGATTGAAATATTAGACTTTTGGAAGGGTAGAGAGGTTCTGGAGGAGATTTGGTATATCATTAGGTTTTCTTGTGGGCTTTGGTTTCTAATGTTTTTTGTAATCAAGTTATTCTCTTGGATTGGAGTCTCTTTTATGCAGTTTTTGGGCTCTTTTTTTGTTTGTTCTTGTGTAACATTTTCTTTTTTCTTAATGAATGCTCGGCTTCTTATTAAAAATTGCTCCGATAAGCCAATTTCAATCGCATTATAAGGGACCTTTAATGAAAGGCTATTTTCATTGAGATAGGACAATAGTGTAAGGGGTATCACTATTTGAAATGGTGGTGCCTCCCCTACAAGAACTCTCAAATGAAGTGTTGGGATGAAGCTTCCTGAATGGGTTGAAAACTAGCTTAAGGATAATGGCAAGGTGAAAGAGAATGTTGGAGAGAGTGATGAAATTGGGGGGCTGTCATTGAACTTGTTTGTTGAAATCCGCCCTGAGCCTATGCACAACGCACGACCCCAAGCTACTCCATTTAGTATTGGCCTCATCGGTCTGATTTGTGGCTGGAGCAATAGTTTGCATCTTGATCTATTTGAGCGGTCCTACATAGATTTGGAAGAGCTTGTGCTCGGAACGTACAATGGAATCTTTAACAAGGAGACGTCCTTGATTGTTTCTTACATTCTTTTTCTTTTGTAATTGTGTCTTCATGTAAATTCTGTCTCCTTTCAGTGACCTATTGATTAAATGCACTTCTTTTCTTTTGGAAAAGCCTTTTGTATTCTGATTTGGTTCAGCGCTTCACTTTCCTCCCCTCTTTTCTAATCTC